AATGTGCCAGTCTTAAGAAAGTTTCTGATCTTTTGAATTAAGTGTTTGATTGGCCTTCAATCTCAGGATGATTTCAGTACATCTACACGAAACTTGCAGATTGTTTTGGTGTGACTAATAAAGTGTGTTGCTGTAGACGTTGACATCCTCAGAATGTTAATCCAGAATTCCTTCTGGTGATGACTTTGAGATTCAGTCTCCATTTTTTCTTCTTGCTGCTATCACTTTATCCTGTGAAATAATGTCTTATTTGTGATAACTATTATTTTTTATTAACATACCAGAAATGAATCCTTCTAAGGTGTTGTGGTTTCCCATCCTGGCCAAACTTATTTATTCGATTTCACACACTATACAATTAGTAATCTCTTTGTAGGTAAGTTAAGTGGTACATGGCAAACATCTCCAATCTGGAGTCATACAGGGAACAGTTTTGTCATGCAAAGAGGGGCTGAAAATTGATCCACAGATTCCAATCAGAGAAACATTGATTGCAAGTTGAAAAGGATTATATCCAAATCTGATAGGTTCGACACACCACTGAAAATAAGTACAAACTAGTTTTCAATCTGGAATAGATGACAGAAAGGTTGATCTGTCATTCAAATGGAAAAGAACGTGCAAAAATATTAGGCCATTTCTGAATAGGCAAATGTCCTAATTGATGTGTACATTTATAGTCTTTGTTGGATAAGGTTTTTTAAGTGCAGGATTGGGTTTTATGTCTTTTAAAAAGCTTGGAGAGGCATCACTGCAGGCAATACAATCAAGTACCAGTGCTAAAAGTTTATGGGAAATTTACTTGTAGCAGGAAGAAAAAGAAAAAAAGAGAAAGACAATTGTCTTCTATGAAGCTGAAAATATAAGCTCAGTTTAAAACAAAAAAGTGCAATTAATGATTTTAATATGTTTATTTAGGGAACAGGTCTGTTCAAATGTGAGGTGAAAAATGGTAGTGTTGGTTACCTTGAGGTACCCTAGCAACAACATCATAGCTGCCACTTACACCAGTGTGCTTGACGAAGCACTGTTCTCGCACTCAATTAAGCTCTCATCTTGACAGGAAAAAAATGGATCCACTTTGTTGCACACTGTCAAACATGCTTTGCTTTCCACCCTCCATTATTCTAGCTAAGTAAAAATGTATCAAACCACTTGACTATGCCTGTCACTGAAAAAAAAAATAAAAATATGACAATAGGGTTTTAACAAGAAAATTTATGAATATCCTTCCCAGCTTTCTGCAAGCATCAATAGCAACACATTTCCAGTTGTTAGAATATTCCAAAAAACTTCTAGAAATGGATATCACATCCTTCTTTCTTATGTGATGTCGTTCTTATGTCATTATTTTATTTTTATAAGCAGACAATGATTTTCTTTAGCTGAAAAATGGTCATATGATGTCAAACCTTTGTCCTTTTTTGTTTTGGCAGTGTACATTTTCCTCATAGTTGGAAAAATCACTATCTGAATGTAAGGCAGACCCCTCCCTTCTCATTATAAAGGCTCACTGCATGGCAGCCCAGTAGGCAACGTGATGATAGGAAAGTGGACAGCCAGCCACATCCTGGAGAATCCTGGATATTGCCAAAGCCCTTGCAGTGTTATACAGACTGCCACAGAGCACAGTTGTCCTTACAAAGTGAAAGGCATGACTCTCCCTTCTGAAGGAAAGCTAAATGGTAAAGGTCTCTTTAATCCTGCTGAGCGAGGCTCCTGTAGAGCTGTGTAACTGACTTGCTTTGACATTAATTTAGCTCACTCTTCCTTCTGATGCTTTGAGACTGCAAGGGAAAAGAATGTTTGCCACACTGTTGTCCTCAACATTCTGCCAAGTAACTGTTAGCAGCTAAGAAAAGTGACATCTGTGCATGTGGCAATTGTCTTTAGTCTGAAGCTATTTCTCTTAAATCTAAGCCGGAGGGCTTGAATCACCATTTCCCCTCATCTTGCCAATTGCAGGGTGTTATTTTTACACACTTTTTTTTTTTTTTTTTGAAATAACTACTGAAATCAACGACACTGAAATAATAAATTCTGTTATCAAGTACCATTTACATTTGCATTCTGACTTTTTCCATTACAATAACTTGAGATCTCTGAGAATTTGAAAAAGAAAAATTTAATGTGTCTGATTCAGCATTCAAAGCTTTCTATTTCCATTAAATAAATTCAATTTTTAACTGCATTTAATTATTCTATATAGTAAATTTATTTGATTTTTTTTCCCTGTGTGAAACTAAATTCTTTAAATGGAGACACTTAGTGTCATTTTAGTGCTCTAAGCCATCCCATCTGTCCCCCAGATGCTACTCCAGATCCAGGCATGGGTTTCCATAGGTTCTATGCTCATGAAACACATTAACATGTGCTTGAATATGCAAGTATATCTAAAATAACATCCCATAACTCATTTAATGCAAAGTTATTGCACGCACATTTTCCCTTTTTTCTCACCCCTACCTGCAAAAGCAATATTTGATATTGTCTTTCACAGTCTGGAATGAAGATAGAAATGAAACAAAATATGTTGTTGCCACATTTACTCTTCATAATCTTCCAAAATAGACAGGTTTTCTGATTAAATTATTCTTAGATATAGAAAGAAGAAATAATACTTCTCTAATAACTGGAATTTTAATTTTTTAAAGTCAGGTTTTACTTCCATAACAAACTGGTAACACCTCAAAAATGTTATTAAGGAAGTTGATTTGTTAACAGAGACAAAAGATGGTCAGATCCTCAAACTACAGAAATTAGTATAGCACCATAAAAGTCGTTATGTCTGTGCAAATTTGAAAGAACTGAGAATCTGACTTTCATATATAATATAGGATTTTTTTTCTGTCAGAAACTTATGTAGAAGAACATGAAGAACTCTAATTTGTATATACAAAAAGATAAGACATGGACAGTATTTTGAACTAAAGAATATATATCTTTTCACTTTGAGTTTATCAATATTTCAATGCTAAATTTAGCATACATATCTATACATGTAGTAATTAAGCTGATTATTCACTTTACAAATAGGAATTAGGAAAAAAAAACCCTCATGCATAGTCAGTTTACAAAAGATTTGCTTGGAGGAAGATAGATGCAGGTCAGAAATTGTGTTTTGGCACCACATCAGTCATGCACAGAAATTGAATGACCTTACTGAACTCAGGATAAGACGCTTCTGTCCACATGGCAAGAGTGAGAAGAATCATTGTGTTTAATTCCCAAGTAGTTTAAAACTTGTGCATGCAGAAGTTGCTGCCTTCTTTAAAAAGTGACCTTTAAGAAAAAGACATTTAAAAAACTCTTTATTTCTTTTTCATTAATAGAGAGCAGTTCCTTGATTAGCTTGAAAATTAGCCAGGAATAAGCTTTTTCTTTTCTTGTGAGTTGGAAAGAAAAAAATACAAAATTATACAGAATAAATAGTAAATATAAATCTAGCGAGAATTCATTGCAAAAATAAACCTGGAGTGTTCTATGTGTTTGTAACCTATTTTTCCCACAACACTTTATTTTCTTCTAATTTCAGAAAATATATTTTTGTACAAATAGCTAAATACTACTATTCTTCCTCATGTGTGTGTTGTTGCAGTTATTCTGTCTGAGTGTTGCTTTTGGTTAGGGTGGAAAAGGACCTGTATATGCACTTGGAAATTCCTAGCCACAGCAAACTCATTTCCTTCAAGAATATTTAAAGCCAGCACAGAAGTTATTTATATACATATGTATATATATATATTTATAAAAAACCAAACTTATTAAACACAGTAACATATTTACAGCTGATTCTCAGTAGCTTTTCAAATTACCCAGGATTATGAGTTGAAACACCAGTGATGCACAATATCTTATAGCAGCAGCTCAAGAAAAGATTGTCCAAACTTAGGTAAAGCTATCAGATAGGGAAAGTAGCAAAAGGCTTGCAGTTTTCTTTGTTGAAGATGTTGGGTAAACATGGATGCATATTTTTTCTTCCACATACAGATACAGAATTCAAATAAAGTTCTGTGTAGAATACTTAAATATTTGCAGGCTTTGGGTGAATAAACAAAAATATTTTATCTGTTTTCCTTTTTAACTGACATTTAGTATGACAACTTTTCAACTCCTTTCATATTTATTATAAAGGTATGTAAGGTGTAGTTGTAGACAGTGGTCATGGATGCAGTGCATGTACTAACCTAACATATACACTCTAAGGTTATAAATACAAAAACAGGTGTTGGAATTTTCTTTTTTTTTTTGGTCTTTTTGTTATTTAAAAGGAATCTAATTAAATGGAGGGAAAAAAGAAGGGGTAAAGGGAATGAACTTTTTTTCCATAGGTTGGGAAAGAGAAGTGAATGGAGAGTGGCATATACACCTTTTCAAAATGATGAGGAATGGTGCAATAAGCAATCTTCCTCACACAGTTCAATCAGATTAAATTCTTGCTTAACTTGGGGTTTGACATATTGCCTGCTCACAACCCCATGGCTTCCCACAGTGATCCCTGAGTTTTTCTTTGCTAGGATTACTGCTGTGCTTAAGTTCTGACTGTTGACATGTTTTTATAAGGCACTTTTATTTACAATGATTCCACCTTAAAGTAAAATCACAGAAACTCGGCCCCAGCCCCATGTATTATCACTTCACGTCTGCTGCTCCAGGACTTCCAGATAGTCAGGCTCAGCATGTAAATTAGCCTTGAGCTCAAAATACTCATTTTTAGTTTGTTCTAGAAAAACCTTTCTTGGCCTGGAGTACATGAGTGTCTCCATTAGCTTCAACTCTTCATGTGTTCCAGGATAACGAACTTCCATGTCAGGCTGGAGCTGGACAATATTTTTTCTTAGATATTCTGTGATCCCAAGTTGCTGCAGCTCTCTTTCTTTTTCAAGAATGTTTCTATACAAGCAGCTAGCATCCTGAAAAGACAGAAATTCAGCAGACTGGTCTGTAGCCTTGTATTTGACATTTGGACCTGTAAGTGGTGAACTGTTCTCTCTTTCCAGGAGACTTCTGCGAAGATATTTGGAATCATTAGCTTCCTTCTCACTTCCCTCCTCCTGCTGCTGCTCGGTGTGCTTGGGGCTGAAGGATGGGCTGTGGTACACCTGAACCATGGGGGTAACTATTCTTTGCTCATAGAGAGTGGCAGCTGGGCGCTCCGTGGTGTGGTGTGTTGTCTTATGCCCATACATGCTGTACTGAAGGTGAACAGGGCTGCTGTCCCTCACTTGTTCATCCACTTGCTTCTTTTTGCATCTCCTGCGCCGGTGCAGAACAAGAACAACTATTCCTGCTGCACAAAACACAATAGTTATAAACACAATGAGCAGTCCTAATATTAGAACTGAAAGTGGGACAGCATCTGTAAGAGACCGCAGGATGGTGTCTGCGGTGTTGGCAGTAGGAGAAGAAGTTGTCACAACTACAAAGCTGGCATGGGTTGGTAGGGCAGGGCTGTTTATTAAACCTGGACACAAGACTTCACTCTTTAGGGATTTCAATTCTTTTTTTGCTAAGTGCCCGGGAGATTTACAAAAAATATCACCCATCATGGTATTCTTACTCAATTTTTGTATCCATTTTTGCAGTCCAACTGAATCACAAGTACAGTCCCAAGGGTTGTCTTCAAGTTCAATTTGTACCAGCATATCCAGTTCATCCAAAACATTGCTTACAGGCAAATGAGCAAATTGGTTTGTTTTCAGATTTAGTCTGGTGAGGGGAACACCTGAAAAGATATGGGGTGGCAAAGCCTGCAGAAGGTTGTTATTTAGGTAGAGAACTTTCAGTTTTGGCATTACATTAAATGTCCCTGGCAAAACTTCTTTGATGGCATTATATTCAAGGTACAAGTACTCAAGGTGCTGAAGGCCAAGGAAGAGATTTTGACTTAGCTTTGTAAGATGATTGCCATTGAGATATAGTTTCTGTAGTCTGGTCAGATTCATAAAGGAACCTTCCTCAAGGATCTCAATGCGATTGTTCCCCAGGTGAAGCATTTCCAGGCTGGCATAGTCCACAAGATCTGATTTCAATAACGTCTGAATAATGTTTCCAGCTAGGATAAGCTTTTTAGGATTTGGAGGAGGAGGTCCTAAATCAGACAAGCTTTCAATATTTCGCTCCTGGCAGTGCATAAGAACTCCTGAGAGCATATGGCTGGTGCAGTGACAAGGGACAGGACAAGAGATTCCTGGAAATGTAGTAGGCTTGGAAGTATGAAGCACTAAACTTGGTTCTTTAGTAGGAGCTTTCAGGAGAGGAATCACCTTAGTTGATAGATGATTATCATTGATAGCAGTGGTTACAACCAAGGGCAGTGATCCTGAAGGATCTTCAAGTTCATTAACAGGATGGGTGGGACAAAGAGATTCTTTTTTCAGCCGGCTTAATATGCTGCCTTTGATAACTGAAGGGCTATTGCATACAACATCACCTATTATGGACTGAGGAGGCATGTTTTCTAGCCATATCTTCAGCTGCAACAAATCACAGTTACAGGCCCATTTATTGTCTTCCAACTGAAGGTCTAGTATTCTTCCAATGTGTTCCAAAAAGCCAACATAGGGCAGTGTCTGTAACTGGTTTCCGCGCAGATCTAAATGGGTCAATGGCACAAAACGAAATATGTTTGGAGGAAGATACTCAATGGCATTATCATTCAAAATAAGCACTTTAAGCCTGTTGAGCTTGCTAAAGGCACTTGCTTCAATCACTGTGATGAAATTGTTGTCTGCTTGAAGAAACTCCAAATTTTCCAATCCATTAAATGTATCTTCTTTAAGTGTTTCCAAAGAATTGTGATTGATATGAAGTTGCTTAAGTAGGCTGAGACCATTGAAAGCCCCAGGCTCAATATCTGCTATATTGTTAAAACCAAGATGCAGAGAAATAGCATTAACAAGGCCAGCAAAATCATTCACATGTAACATACTCAGACCATTGTTTAACAGATTAAGATGGAAAGGCCGTGATGGTGGGACATTTATTTCTGATATCATCTTGATGTCTCTTTTGTCACAGTTGATAATCATGGTGTCATCCTTTTCTTCACAGGAACACAGACTCTGACAAGATCCTCTGACTGAAGAAAAAGAAGGCTGTGACTGGAAAGGATCGGATGCAACCACAATTGAGCATAGAACAAAAATCCAAAGCTTCATCATGTCCAGCAGATTCTATTAAAAAAAAAAAAAAAGGAAATAAGTAATAGAGTCATGATTTCACAAGGTTTGGGTTGTTTGTTTGGGGGGATTTTGTGGCTTTGTTTGCTGGAGTTTTTTTGGTTTTTGTTTTTTGGGTTTTTTTCTTTTTGTTTTTCTTTTCCCTGGCATAACAGAAAGAAAAAAACATTCCTAATCTTCATCACTGTGCTACTTCTCCTTCCAAGGGCTATCATATCATGCAAAACAATTGAATTATTTTCTAATTAGAGAATATAAATTTAGTTTGATGTAGTGAATGAATAAACAGAGTCATAAGGGGAAATCTTCAGTACTTTCATGCTGATATCCAAAGTAGGATGTAATCAGGAGTGTGTTGGTTTTATTCATATACTGTATAGACTGCCAGTGGAAAACAGTAATAATTTACTGTTCCAAGAAGCTTATATCAAAGCTAATATAATATTTTGAACCATTGCTTTCTGTCACTATATAACACTGCAAATGTTAAGAGTACCTTGCTAAGATTAACTTAATGCTACCCAGCTGCTGAAGAGAAATAAGATTTGGTTTGGATCAGTAATGTGTTGTGAGCAAAAGCCCATTCTTGCAGGGTACAGGGAATCTCTCTTCAGTTCTGCATTATGTATGGAAATCAAAGGGTATTTCCTCTGAAATCCTTGTACCCACAAACTGAAAAGGACATGGACAAAATAATCATCTCTCTTTGCTTAAATTTTAATGCATATGTTGTAGACTGTGGGTGAAAGTGGGGCCACAGCACAAAGTACTGTAATGTTCACATGTAATGTACATACAAAAAAATTTGCGTACACCATGTTAAAAAAGAGAACTGAGAATGCAGTGTGTGCCAGAAAAAACAAGCAAGCAAGGGCAAACTTTTTGAGATTAGTATTAGACTCCTCCCAATGATAATAATCATCAATTTCCACAGTGAAATGTATATGGACTTGACTGTGCTTTACAAATTAAAAATTATCACCACTATCAACTATTTGTTATGTAATATAATTATCACCTTTCCATCTGATCTTAGACTTTGAAACACTTGATAAATGCATCATTACAATACAGCTATGGAGTTGCAAGTAAAATTTAGATGTTTAAATCAGTCATTTATTATTGGCTTGAATTAAGTTGTCCTATAGGCTATTAGAAGATTCTCTGTTTCTTTCTGTCAAGGCTGCCTAATTAGCAAGACCAATGGTAACTCCTGATACATAAGATAGAGGGAAATCGCTGTTTATAATCTTTAGTTAAGTATTTCCAAATTTCAAAAAAAGTAAATAATAACCAAAAAATCCCCTAAAATGCAATGGATTATTTAAAATCAGTAATGTTTATGGGGTGTGCTATTTATTTGAGTACTGAACTAAGCAAGACCCTTAAGTAATCCATCTAATAAAGGTCAGAATCTTTCAAAGTAGGCTATTGAAAGATGAAGTATAGAATGTCACTACACAACTAACAGTGTCAGTTTCTGAAAGATTAGAACATTTTACAAGGATCAATTCAATACATGCATGAACATTTTTATAGTGTGGTCATATGATTTGGCATCTCATCAATGCATATTTTGAATATCATGCACCTTGGTTACTAGAAACACTATTTCTCAAGGCTTCCCTTAGAACAGATTGCAAAGCTTTACACATGCAAGCACTTAAATGCTGTGGCATGAGTATTACACACACACACACAAAGAACAACAGTGTGTCCACAGTGAATTTTGTTTTTCTCCATGAGTAGCTTCTGATAAGTGAGAGTAGAAATACGAGTTTATAAGTAGTAAGTACAATTCACATTGTGAGAAAAATTGTCCTTAAAAGTATGAGCTTTTATCTTTGTTTTAGTAGTTGCAATATAATTTTGTTGCCTCATATAACCCTCCTTGAACTCCAGCTGCCCTGTTTAATATATATGTCTTTAAGTCTGTTTTCCCAAGAAGTATTTGATAAGACACACCATGTCAAGATGTTATTTTAAAATATGCAGAATAATTCCAGGATCACATTATGCTAGAGACTTATCCTTGCTTTACATGCATCACTATCCTTTCCAGTGACCCAAGGTAAAAAATACAAGCTCTTGACACAGATGCCGGCTTCAAACCTATGCTATGACTAATTCAACTTTATTTCTGTACACTTTTTCTCATTAGAAATTCCAGTGTCAATCCGCATCAAATTCAAACAACACTTATAAAGTCCTTGAGCAAAATTAAACGAAAAAAGAAATCTTTAAGGCATGTTGCATTCTATTGCATATTGAGAAATTAGGTTACTAAAATTAAAGCCTTCCTCTCAGAGATGAAAGTAACATTTGTAACCAATTGGAAAACATTCACATTTTAATCATCGTCATACTTCTGCAAGCAGCACTGCCAGAACTCTCTCACACACATATATATACCCACAAAATAAAAATTAATAGGAGAGTTTTATTCTTTTTCCTTTCTCCATTTAATTTTTCTAAACACTCAGAAACATGTAATGAAGTTCTCAGTGGGCTACTATTGTAAAATAAAAACTGCCCTCTTGTAACAGATGACTAACATTTAACTGAAAGTATTCACAATACAACAAAGTGTAATTTGAAAGACTTTTCATGTGGTGAGTTTTTTCAGCAAATTCCATGTAGTAACTTAATTTTTTTTTATCTGCTTTCGTGTAAGTCACTGCTGACTGCATACTGTAACTAAACTCTGTAGGAATTCTAAAAGACTAAAAAATGTCACAGTTTTTTCTATGAGGCAAAGTTGAATACTTCCAGAAGTAATCACCTTACAGCAAACACATCTCATGCTTGCTAAGTAATAATTGATTTGGTTTTAAAACATTGAAATAGCTTGTTTCATTATGCTTGAGGGTTTATTTGTTTGATTTTCTTATTTTAGCTATATATATAAAAAAACAACTATGATGATGATTTTCAAACCCCCAAGCTAAGAATTAGTAATTTCTAAAGGCCTTTGGGATTTTTTATTAAATTCTTAAGGGAATTACACTCAGATGATGCATTTAAGACCATTTTTGCGCTTGAAATAAAACCAAACACCCATTCCTCTCCCTTAAGAGGTTCAAGAACAACATTCCCTTAATGCACATATTCTACACAGTAATCAGTTTGAATAAATGTCCCTGCAAACTGTTTAAAATACAGTATAAACTGCCATCATTTAACATAAAAGTTATGCAGATAAATAAATGCAACTTTTACTGAGAAGTGAAATTCTCATGTGCTTAGCTAATTAGCTAACCAGAATCTTTCTTACCTGTACAGCAGCAACACTCCCTGGTACACTCAGTAATGCACAGTTGGAGCAGCTGTTTCCATGCAATGTAATTTTTCCCTCTGAAAAACGCACACTTTTTTCTGAGTTTCCCTTTGCTGCAAGCTCCGGTAATGCTACAGCTCCATAAAGTTAAAATCCTTGTTCAGAAGACAAAGTACAAAGCATTCGATTGAAAAAATCTTCCAGGCAGCCGTGCACGTCAGACCATCCTGTAAGCAGTTGTCCTTTTTCCTCAATTAAAATTCACAGCATACTTCACAGCTAGGCTGACTTTTCTGCATATAGTTAACTGTTTGCAAGCATTTGGATGCAGTAAACAAACAAGATGCTCAGCAGAGCTTGACTTGATCACTTGGTTTGTCAGATTTTTAGATGCAAGCTGCTCCTGTGTTCTCTCTGTTCTTTCTAGTCTTTCTTGTTAGCTCAGTTTGTTATTAGTCAGATTGCCAGGGGCTGGGAGGTAGGCGTAAATAAAGAGACTTCTTGGCTTTTGACTCAGCCTTTAAGCCCTTCCCCACCAGAGAGCTTTAATCTGCCAATGCCATTTAATACAAGATACAGCTCCACCTTGAGACAGATCAGCTCCTCCTCCTGCAATTTCTCTCACCTCTTTTTCCCCTTATCTAAGTGAGCCTCAGAAAGTAAAATTCAGCTAAATATCTTCTAGGTTGCTTAAGGGCTGTTAATACCCGATTTTGCAAAAAACAGTAAACATCCACTGCAGCTCCTTCAGTTTGTTCTCTTGGGCAGTCCCTGCATTTAGTTTGTATCTGCAAATGCTTGCTTTAGAAACCTGAAAGCATTCCAGCCCAAATACACTCCACAAATCGCACCACAAGGGAAACTTTGTCCTCTGGAAAATATGTCTATCACGTTGAAGTGCAGAATCATTCAAATATATAAATGAGACTGTAAAGCTGTCAATCCAGTCCACTCAGTGTGAATGGGGTAGGGGTGAGCATGCACAGTTGTACATACTTTATTATGGAAAAATAAAATTATGGAATATTAGTGCTTCTGCTTGCACAATGACTGCTGTCAGCCCTTTTTTAAACTGCCCATCCTGCTCTGTAGGAAGAAGACTGGGTTGATTGTAATTGTCTGTTTCACAGATGTTAGCACACCATGGTATCTGTCCGTGTGAGATTGCATTTTATTTCCATGAAACACTGTTTAGATAAAAAACCCTCTGGTTTGGGGGAGGGCATTTTTAAAGGCATGTATCATGCTTGAGGTATTATTTTCTTTATGCTCATAAATAAATAATTAGCAGATACAGTACAGCCACTGGAAAATGCTTATTCCATGCAAGGAGGGTGTTCCTTATCCCTCCTGCACTGCATGGGATGGTTTTATAAGCAGCACATGCTACTTCCTTGTTCATCCCACTGCCACAGAGTCACAAAGCCTTTTGAGAGCAACAATAGATGTGGTGCTCCAGCATATTTGCCCTCTGCAGCATAACATTTCTGGTTTGTTTTTCTGTGCCTCGGATTATTATACAGACTGTTTACTGCAGCCTCCAACCAGTCAGATTCCAGTAATTTCTTTTGCACTGATGGATCTCTAGGTGGCCTCATTGACCTCAAAAAGGCTATTGCAATTTACTGTTCCATGTGCTGAAGGCTATCAAGATCTTTTCCTATATTTTTGCTCACACACATATATGTAAACTTTTATATATAAATTCATAAGATTTATATATCTCTATATTTAAA